GAAACTGCACTCACGAATACCAATTTTAGCTTCTTGCTTGGGATGACGATTATTGGAGTAATTAAAATAGTCAATAAAAATATAAAAAAATTTAAATAATTAATAAAATAAAATAAAATATCACATTCAAATTATAAATATTTTATTTTTTTCTTTTACAATAACTAATTTAACTACAAAAAAAAATAAAAAAATTATCCCAAACAATATTTTTTCAGTCATGTTAAAATAACTAAAAATACCCATCTTAAACTAGCACTTCTATAATTTAGTTGAGAAATATGGTATCAAAGATTTGATGACGTCTCAGTACTTTTAATTTTCAGAAAAATAGCTTTTTCTATTGAACTATCAACATTTATTTTTTTTGGATAAATTACAGTAACACCTTCTAAAGTTTATATTTATTATAATTTTTCCTTCATCTTTTGAAAATTACATTTTTTTCCTGAGATTTAAAGTTTCATTACAGATTCCCCACTCAGCAATTTAATTTTTTTAAATACCAATTTTGTCCTCATTGGGTAAATTACATTGACATTCCTCACATTTTAAAAATTACAATCCCCTCCTTAAGGTTTAAAGTAGTATTACCAATTACCTCATTGGTTAGTATTAGTTGGAAAAAAATTCATTGAAAAAAAAAATTAGTTGGAAAAAAAATTAATTGAAAATTTTTTGTTGTTAATAAAATTTTTAAATTTTTGTTTAAAAACCAACGTAAACTCATTTTTTAAATTTACATTTTTTCCTCAAATTTACAAACTGAGACAATAATTTATAAACAAAAAAAATTATCAAACAAGTTTTTATAACAGTTTTTAAAATTTTTGTAAATATAAATTGAAAACTGAAAACGAAATGGTTTATCAAACAGGTCTTAAATGGTAAAAATGTCGTAAAATTAACAAATAATTAAATAAGTTACCAACGTAAGAAATGACTAATCAAAAAATTCCTAGGCCATGTATGGTTTGATTTTTAGAATTTTTTTTTTAAAATTAAAAATTAATTTGGTTAAGAAATAAAAAATAAAAAATAAAAAATAATTATCATTTAAGGGTAAAAAATAATTATCATTTTAACTTTTGGGTATGTTATATACATACGTGTGGCTGTTTCAATTTAATTTGTAGAAAAATATTTCTAACCACTCGAAAGATAAAAATTATATAAAAATGATAATTATTTTTTTATTTTTTATTTCTTAACCAAATTAATTTTTAATTTAAAAAAAAATTCTAAAAATCAAACCATACATAGCCTAAGAATCTTTTGATAAATCATTTTTTATGTTGGTAACTTATTTAATTATTTGTTAATTTTACGACATTTTTACCATTTAAGACCTGTTTGATAAACCATTTCGTTTTCAGTTTTCAATTTATATTTACAAAAATTTTAAAAACTTCCATAAAAACTTGTTTGATAATTTTTTTGGTTTATAAATGGTTGTCTCAGTTTGTAAATTTGAGAAAAAAACGTAAATTCAAAAAATGAGCTTATGTTGGTTTTTAAACAAAAATTTAAAAATTTTACTAACAAAAATTTTCTTCAATTAATTTTTTTTCCAATGAATTTTTTTTCCCAACTAATACTAACCGAGGAGGCGTAATTGGTAACGCTACTTTAAACCTTAGGAAGGGGATTATAATTTCTAAAATGTGAGGGGTGTTAATGTAATTTACGTAGTGAGAGCAAAATTGATATTTAAAAAAATTAAATTGTTGAGGGGGGAATCTGTAATGAAACTTTAAACCTCAGAGAGAGATGTAATTTTCAAAAGGTGAGGAAGGAACTGTAATAAATATAAATCTCAGGAGATGGCAGTGTAATTTACCCTTATTTTTTTTTTACCAACGTGACTATAGGTATGGATTTATCTTGTTAATAAAAAATTGGGTCATTTGTTTCGTATATATAACAAAGTTGATTGATTTTGGGTAATATGAAAAATTGGGTCATTTGTTTCGTATATATAACAAAGTTGATTGATTTTGGGTAATATGTGAAGTGGGTGAAAATTAATCAAGTCTTGGTGCTAGGCCCAATGCAATACTCACTCCAAGGTGGAGCTAGGTCGGACCTCGGCCCTATGGCCAACACTTGCTTCGAAGTAAGACAATCATAGGAGCTCGGCCCAATGTACGAGCGTCACTCCAAAGTGGGTCGAGCAACATGGTGGACCTTCTGGATGGACAGAACCACTCCGAAGTGGGTTGAGCAACATGTTCGTATATATAACAAAGTTGATTGATTTTGGGTAATATGTATATTTATGTACATATATTATATAAAACATACAAATTCAACAAATTATTTTTACTCATATGTATATGCAATAATAAAAATTGAAAATAAATTTTATTACAATAATTTGATAGCTAGCATCAACTTATTTATTTTTTGATATAAAAAAATAAATAAATATACTCCATATATCTGTTATAGAGTATTGTTTCTCAACATCACATAGCAATTTACTAGAGACCTCACCATACATTTGTTAGAGTCGAAACTAAGGTGTCAACGTGTGCTCTGGACGGTGAAGAGTTAGAGTAGCTAAATAATTAGGAGATTTGAACCCAAGAATTGAGCAAGGAGATCTGAGTATTTATCCTCTGAACCAACCACATTATTAAGTCAAATAAATTTTAAATTTAAGATTGAATAACAGGAAGTGGCTGTAGTTTAGTGGTAAGAATTTCACGTTGTGGCCGTGGAGACCTGGGCTCGAATCCCAGCAGCCACAGCGGATTATGCTTTTCCAATGTTTTTTTGGCATATTTTCTTTTGGGTAAATTATACTTACGTTCCTTAAAGTTTGAGTTTAATACATATCACTCATAACGTTTGAAAAATTATACTAATTCCTGTCATTGTAATTATTTACGCCAAATAAAGATATTGAACTCATTCATTTTTTTTTTTTGCTATATTTTCTCTTTTTTTTCCCTTTCCTTTATTTTATTTTTTTTAATGTAATTTTTTTTTATTTTTTTATTAAGAGTTGTTACCTTTTATATAAGCAAATGTTTATGAAATGAGACTATTAACTACAAGGGTGAGAATGTAATTTCCAAAACGTTAGGAGTGGGTAGTAATTGAACCAAACCAAACCTCAAGGGGTGTCAATGTAATTTATCCTTTTCTTTTTAAATTTTGTTTGCAGAGTTGCCCTTATTGTTTTCTTTGTTACATTGATATCCTTTGCAATAAAAGCCCTTCAAACCCTAATCCCTTGGATCTGAAAACAACTCGATGCGCTATGGTACAGAAGAGTTTGATCGCAATCCGAATCAACTTTCACTTTCTCTTGGATCGCCATCTTCATTGATCTCTCGTATCTGAGATTTGATCAGCAAAAAGGTACGTAATTCTCTTTCTTTCTCTGTTTCTGACCATGTAATGTGTCCTTAATATGCTCTAGAGAAGAGCAAAAAATGAAATAAAATGGAGAAGTGGAGGAGAAGATTTTGTTGCATAAATCACTCTGATAAGCTTGAATTTTTGACTGAATAAAGGAACAAAAATTTAATACTACTTTGTTGGATTTCAAGTTGTTTTAGTGCCAGTGTTCTAACTATCTCAAGGTTTGATCACTCTACTTGGTAATCTTTTAAGCACTGGTATGATATGTTGGTATTGAATCAATTGAGGAACATTGTTTCTAGTATGCTTTTGCATTTGGGTAATAACTTGAAGAAAAAGGAAACTGTTTGAAACCAATGAGATTAGGATGAAAGGGCTTTCTTTCATTAACATTTAGTTTAGTGAAGGTGCATAGCTTCTTTGAATTCCCCATTGATTGACTATTACATTTAGGGATGGGACTGATCCCGAAAGAAAGATCTTTCTTTTTGGTTATGAAATTGCTTAGATTGAAAAGCAAAGCAAGTCAATGATGTATTGATGCCTCATTGAGTCGAGGATATTAGCATCTTAATTTGTATGTTAGAAATTGGTCATACATAACTAGCAGAATCGATACACTTTGACACTTCATACTTGGTTGTTATGGTGATTATTGACTCATATACTTTTGTGGCGATCGTCTTTATTTGATCTCATGAAATTGTTCGGAGAACTTGGAGGTCTTAGGAAAGAAAATTTATTTTGCAAAATTAGTAAATAAGAGAAGCTTGTATCTAGGTAGAAAGGAGGAACAAGGTACATGAGTTTATTTGTATGGGTTTTTATTTTCCTTGTCTGGCAAATTTTTTTTTTTTTTTAAATTGCACTGTCGAACTATGTCTGTACTGATTGAATATGAATCCTGGAGCATTGAGTAACAGAGATAAAAGTGCTTCTGACATTATCAATTCTAGACATTGAGGATTTTCTTAGGTTGGGGAAACTTGCAAGGTGAAGAGTGCCACCATCAAGTAGAATTTTTTAATGCATCTACTATGGGAAATCGAAAATGTCAGCTTCAAGAGTTACTGATTCTGTAGGGGGAGGGTTATGTGTTGTCCTGCTTGAATGAGATTTAAGGTGTTGCTGATGTGTGAGGATAAAAAATGGGTGATTTGACCCGATGTTATAGCGGAAAAAATTCAGAATATGAAGGAAGCTGCTGGTTGTCCCTCATTTTATGAGGGATGAATAAGTAATCTGTAGTAAGATGCTAAATCCACCGTCTGTCAAGGACCATCAGTTGAACAAAATCCACCTTCACTGAGTCGGGTATCGATCAATTTGTGCAGGAATGGAACTTAAGTATCCCTGTGGAAGACAATTTTTTACCATATATTCCTATGTTAAATTTCCAACTGCTAATCTTGTTAGATCCTTTGTTTTTGCTGTGGAAAGTACAATTCCTGCAAGCCTTTGTTTTGTTCCTCTTCGATCTCTTGTTACAGTTGCTATAATTTTAGTTAATCTGATAATTTTACTTTTGGTATTTGATAGGGTTATTTTGGACCGTGGTATTTTCCTTCCCTTTTTTTTTTTTTTTTGATAATTGGGTGCTTAATATGACGAATTCTTTGTGCTTTGACAGATGATTGATGATCAAGACTTGGGATTCTTTGCCAACTTTCTTGGCATATTCATATTTGTCTTGGTGATTGCTTACCACTATGTGATGGCTGATCCCAAATATGAAGGGAACTGAAAAGGGCTCGCAGTGTTCCCAATACTTTTTCATTTCATGTGAACATTCTTATGTTAGAATTTTAATACAGTGATGACCTCTGATTTGGAATTTCACATTTGCAGCTGTCTTCGATCCCCCGATCTCCTTTATTTTTAATTATTTTTAATTTACTTATAATGTCAGGGAGCTTAGTGGGTTGTGGATGAAGCCACATGTGTTCCTTTCTTATTATGAATAAAGTTATTACAAACCAAAAAAAAAGAAGAAAAAGAAAAGAAAAAGAAGATACGTTTCCCTAATTATTCTGTTGCGGCTCCATTTATGCAGCTTTTGAAAATCATTCCTAGGTCAGTGCTGTGAAGCGAGAGCAAGTATTTGGTGTAACTGGTATTATCACAGTGATGTAACCTTTATCTCACATATTTATAGGCCCGTTTGTTTTCCGCTATTACGGCCCACTCCGGACTGTGACGGATGAGCAGTGAAGATAGTGAAGATAGCTCATGTTTGTTTTGGTTTTGGAACTCCGAATTCGTAATCTCTTCGGACTACGATAGGCCTTAGTGAGGGGATAGGCCTTAGTGAGGGGTATTAGTAATCTGAGCTGAGAAATGGTATTAGCAAAATAGTCCGTTCGGATTGAGTGTTATCGGTAGGAATGACAATAGGGGGCAATGGGGTGGATATTAATTCTCCATCCCCATTCCCCTATAATAAATTGTCTCCATTTCCCATTCTCCATGGGTACCACCCTCCCCATTTTTTAATGGGTATGGATTTTTCCCAACCCACTTTAATCCCTATTTTTATTTTTTATATTTAATGTTCATCAATCAACATCTCCTCTCTACTTTTTCTACACATAATACAAAAAAAGTCAAAAAGTATACTTATTTAGTCTTCCCAAACTAGGCCTTAGTGAGGGATATTAGTAATCTGAGCTGAGAGATGGTATTAGCAAAATAGTCCGGTCAGATTGGGTGTTACCGGACATCCGCCTAGAAGTCCGGTCGGTCAACTGCAATTTTTTTTTTTTAAGTTGTTGGGCATTTTTTTGTTCAAACATTTTATTGTATTTTTTGTTAAGTAAAAATTATGATTTTATTTTTATTTTTTTATTTTATATAAAAATAATTTAACAATTTCTACACTAACAAATATCATAAAATCAAATACAATTTTACTAATCCCTTCATTAACCATTTTTTCACTATTAATTTTATCTCTCAAACCAAACGGGGTATAATGCAAGCTCTACTATTATAATAAGTTCCTCATTTATAGGAGAATGGTGTGTTTGCCCATTGAATTAACGGGTTGTTTGGGATGACCTAAATAAGTGTATTTTTTGTCTTTTTACGAAAAGATGTGCAGAAAGTGATGTAATGAAAAAAAGATAAAAAGATGGATTATTTTGAACTTCTCAAACTTGGCCTAAATATCACCTCACGAGGCTAAGAAGATGTTTTGAAATTCTCCCCGCAAATGCATCCAGGATCACATGGTGCAGTTAAAAATAACCACAAAATATACAGCTGATGCTATCACCATTAAACCTTTTATTCTTCTCTCCGTGATCATGAAAAAGACCACAATTTGTTTCAGTTGTCAACAGAAAAAAGTTAAAACAGGCTTACTGGAGGAAAGACCCAAACCGATTCAGCTATACAAAGTCAACCACCAGTCTGGGTCACGAACAACTAGCCTCCACATAAACAAAGAGAACTCGCTCATGGACCACTGTGCCATTTCAACAAAGAGAGATAATCTGGGTATTGCTTTGCCAAAACAAAAGCGATAAATATACACATCATGAGGATGCTGATAATCACAATCCTCATTATTTGATCGCTGCCCTGATTCACCCTGTTCCCAGTAAGATGACGTGATGCCGGTGAAGGCACATTCTCATTATTTGCAAGACGCCCACTTGCTCTCATCAGAACGATCTCTTCATTCATATTGTGCGTGACAACTTGGTCTGAACATTTTAGGCAATAATACTTACCGCCAAGAAAGGAAGGGAGTGCCTGAAGGTACTCCCAGAGAACCTTCTGGTAGTTTTCTCCAACAATCCGAAATTTTTGCTGTGTGGTGGGTCGCATAACCTGCACGATCCATATTTCAAAAAGTAAGTCCTCATAGTCCCAGTAAGGTTCCTATTGCGTCCCCTATGGAAGAATGGTGCGAAATTTCTAATTCTTGTTGTACTAGGTTTTTTCTTCTATAGAGAGCCATGGAATTCTTGAAAGATTATGAGCCAGAGTTAGCAAGTCACCACCCAAGAGGCAAAGACCTATGGCTATGTTTGGATGACAAGACTGGAACAGCACGAATGCAAATTCTATTACCAGGAATTCCATTACTAGTAACAACATATACGTATCAATGTAATTCTAGTGTTTAGTTTGGTTAGGAATCTTCTATAATGAATGAGATATAATTTAAATTTTGTGGGCCCATTTATTGTTTTATTCTTAAATGAGTCACAGTCCTGTTCCCACGGGTGGAATTGGATTCCCACAAGTGTGGTAATCTCGTTCTGCCTTGGGAATTGAACTAAAAATCACATTTTTATTCTTGGATGTATCCAAACAACGAAATGAAAGACACTTGGAATGCAATTCTCACTACACCTCTCTATTCCTGCCATCCAAACATGTTAGGAGTCCACTGAGGGAGGGTGTGATATCATGTCGAGTCATGGTACCTAATTATTTTTTTGAAGTTATAACGCTATAAGTCACCACATGCACTCGTGCATTCTTTTTTCTCCCTCTAATTTTTGCCATTGTTTGGTTTCATCTCATGATTGAAGGGAAGGACGATACCTGTAGTGTTAAATGTAAAGAAAGATGGCCAGCTTGTTAAGCTAAGTAACAGTCTAATAGAAATCATAAGATTACGATAAATTTTTGCGATTGTTTGGTTTCATCTCATGATTGAAGGGAAGGACGATACCTCTAGTGTTAAATGTAAAGAAAGATGGCCAGCTTGTTAAGCTAAGTAACAGTCTAATAGAAATCATAAGATTACGATACAAACACTATAAAGAGGAGTGATATTCGTCTTTTTCTAAAGTAGGTTACTTGTTGGATAAAGCTGCCAAAATCAAATATGACGATGATTTCTTCATTCAAAAATCATCTTTTCAATGTCAAGGTGCAGCAGAAATTGGAAAGTCACACGACATAACAAGTCCTTCAAGAAAAAAAAACTGAGGCTTGAAGAGATGGAGCTTACTTGAAACAAAGTTTGTGTAATCACTTGGGCAACTGTAGGAAGCTGTATGATAATCAAATAGCCAAGACGGTTTGGGTAATGATCTTGCAAAAGGAGAGCACAAGATCTCAACATTTGCATGGGGAATCCAGAAGGAGATAATCCTTCACAATCCATCAAAACTGTAATTTGAGGATTTTTGACATTAACCAAGTGCATTACCCCATGCTCTACCTGGGAAACTGAAGAAGAAACATATAGAGATGTCAACAATTGTGCCAGAATAATCAAACAATGAAAGTGAGAAACAAATTAACTAATGACAGAGGAGCGGCATTGGTATAGAAGTATGGAGACAATCAAGGTTTATATAAACATACAAGTATTAGTGTATTCAATCAGCTTAGTGAATACACTAACAATGGTGAATGATGATTCCATTTGCAATGTATTTTTCATCATTTTTAAGTGAACCAAATGTGAGATTGGAAATTCTAATGGAATGATTATTCCATTCCACCTTCATTCCAATGAACCAAACACTACCTAAAATTTAACCTTTTTTTTTTTGGCCTCGTATCCAAAATGAAATTTCATATTAAAGACAAACAAAATGTAACTGCCTTCAGTCACCATCTGCAAGTACTACCTCTCCAATTGGGCCTTTGTGCATTGGTACCTATACTGATAGTAACAAAGCTTATATTACCTCTAGATTGGAGAAGTGATGAAGAGGTAACCCAAATCAAATCAAACCAAAATAAAATTAAGCCTTGTGTCTCAATCAAGTGACTAAGAATAAAAAAAAAAAAACTACACCCAATTTAGTCATTTGATGGAGCTTTTGTAGGGATAGATTGGGTATAGATCTAACCTTTGGCTTAATTTTCACAAAGTGGTTTGCCTTCAGGTTTGAACCCACAACCTCAAAGTTAGTAGGCCAAGTTTTAACAACTGAACTAGTGCCCCCTTGTTTAAGAGGTACATAGACATAAATTTAACAGAAACAAATGTGTGTACCAACTGCTTTAGTGAAGATAGGTCTGTTGTTGGATCTCAAGCTAGAGCAAGCAAGACCTAGTCGAATAATGAGGCAAGGCCGTAGCTGTACATCATATCCATGCCAAAAGACCAAATGCGACCAAGACTCAAGCTCTTGTGGTGAAAGAAAAGTAAAAGTCTGCCTCCAATGAATTGTCTTCTTGATTGATGATAGCAACCTTGAAAACTCACCATTTGCAGCAGTGTAAAATCTATGAAGCTCATCATCATTAAGCCTGTAGAGATATTTCAATATCATATTTCACCAAAATTTACCTCAAAGGCAAAATAAAATTTCCAATTAAATGAGAATTCAGTAATTACAAAAATGAGTATCCTGAGACCTTGATTTTTTTTTTTGTTGTTTACTATTAGAATTATATAGGCATACATAAAGAACTAGTACAACAGAATTCCTAAGAATAAAGATGTACAAATGTGAAGAAAATAAAAAGAAAGTTCTGATTCAAATTTTCCAGGAAGAAATGGCCAGAACATGGTAATGGTTACCTTTCTGGTAAAGTAATACCCAGCTTCTCAAGCTCTTTGTGGAATTGTTGCAACCAATTTTCGGTAGATAAACTTTCAGGGACTGCATCACAAGACCTGAAAATAAAAATAATTGAATTATGACTTAAGCATAAAAGAGTAAACACAAGGCTAACCAGGACAAAATGGCAACGCAAGACAAGAAATGGAGCATTAACAAAAATGTTAAACCCATATTTATACAATCATAATGGTAATCAGTAAAGTGGGCTGTAAAGATGCCTAGCAAACCTGAAACATAAGCTATAGGATGTTTGTGTTAACCAAATAAGTGGATTAGTACCGGTTCATTCCACTGTAACAAGTTAGCAAAATATGAAGTACCCCCCAAAAAAAAAAAGTAATAAAATGAAAGTTTCATAGATTGACACAATTTGCAATTTCCAACCTGGCTCACACTAACCATTATATTATTTCAGGAGGAAGAAACATTAGCCTGTCCCTGGCACCATCTTCCAGCCCTCTTTATTGGACAACATTTTATATGTGAGGACTGCCATGACTTTAGATAAAAATAAAAATGTGGCTGGTATTTAGGGAAATTCCAGGAAAATATAAATTGCCAGTCTCTAACAACTAGGCAGAAGGAGAAAGGCAGATGATTTTTTACAGAATAAAATTTAAGGGCTAACATGTTGGTTGAAATGGGTTAAGAACCTTCTGGACCAATGTCTAACCATTGACGTTAAGTCAAGTCTTGGACACAGTCACACAGCAATACGAAAGATTTTTTACAGCTGAAATTATTAACTCGATGAACATTAAATATCTATGTTGGATATGCATATAATACAGATTAGCTTCATAAAACAATGAACCCAAATGTTAAGTCTGTAATAGTAATGCTTTCCATAATTAAACATAAGAAATCTTGTATAAATCAATGAACAGAAAAGAAGCAACTAAGAATCACCTTGAGTCTGAAGTTGGCAATTGTGAAGATGTCTCCTGTTGTGATTCAGAATATGTTTGAGAATCATGTGAACTATCCACTTTTTTTGTTGTACACGCCGGTTGATCAGAGAAAACTGTAGCAATTGTGAGGACTAGTAATGGCTTTGACAAACTCTAGCAGGAATAAACAAATTATCAATACTACAAAAATCCCATGACTAAACATAGTTAAATGGGAAACAGAAGAAAGAGAAAAACCCAAAGAAAAGAAGAAGAAGAAGAAAGAATATGACTAAATGACTAACACAATGCTGTATATCATGAACAAGCCAAGGATCTTTAAATCTTGAAAGCAGTTAAGAATTAGCATTTCTCTCACATAATTCTATGACAAAAAAAAGAGGTTTTGCAGTGTTAATAATGCTTGATGTGTGTTCATGTCACATTTTGTGGGCCCAAGTGTGCGTAGATCCTCACATTTTAGAGTTTTTCATGTCCGAATTAGGCAATGATTCCCAGATCAGTTTCCTTGCCATGTAGTCTAAATTAAAATTACATCGAAATCACAAGATATACATTGTACAAATCAAAGAAAATAACACATCCAACATAGATATGTTCATATAAATGTGTCTATAAAACCAACCTGCATGTATTTAACCAAAGCTTTAAAGGGTGTCCATCTTTCGATCCACTTAAATGGTGGATAGCAGAGAACTTGCAATGCCTGAAGGCGACGCCAAACAACAGGACACTTGGCGCATGTGTACCTCCGTACAATCTCAAGGGCTGCAGTTTTTACTATAAAGAGTCCTATATCACCAACAACCCCATTTCCAATTAACCCATGTTTCGTTGAAGTCACACCTTGTAAAGTCTTCTGAGAGAAACCCTTTGATAAAGAATCCGCAGGCTGATTTTTAGTAGTGATAATGACCTTTGGCTCCAACTTCTTTCTTGAACAAAACAGACATAAGGAGTCTCCCATTGGGCTGATTGGAAAGCTCCTTTTCACACCTTCAATCAGTCAATAACGTATGTAGCAGTGTATGACATCATTACAACATTGAATTTTTCATTCTGAATTACACTAAACAAAAACCTGTGATTCTTACTGAAATTGCTCAACCTGCAAAGACCATTCAAAAAACACAAGCACAAGGCCAACTTCAGTGTAACATTCCAGTTAAAAAGGGAAATTTATTCAAAATTTGAAATGCATAAGCAATGTGTAAAAGAAAATTACTTAGATACTCCCGGAATACCACGTGTCATTGTCTATATAGTACTTGAAAAATTGCAACATACATGTCTCATCCATTAAATTTTTCGCTATGTGATTGGTTGGTTTGACTACTGAATAATTATTCTCTGAAAAATTATGTTAAAAAAAAAACAAAACTAATGAAAGACAGAAATTGCTTGGCTTAAGCTTTGGTTATATGAATATACATACAAAACCAAAACCAAAAAAAAAATCAAAATACGAGCTCCAAAAGATCGAAAAAATCAACTAACAAATTGGCATTTATTTGAAGCTAAATCAAAAGGTTAAACAAAATTCCATATTCAACACGAAATTATGACATTGATTTGAGCTGTTCAAAATCAAAATTTCAAATCAATAAAACGAACGCAGTAAATGCGAGTTATTACCTTAATTGCGGCATAAAATCTGCAAAAACATTTGACCAATTTCAATGTTTAAACTTCAACGCCATCGTTTCCTACAGGATGAATCGAGAACGAGGGTGGAGGGTTAGGGTTAAAGATTGAGGTTGACAAGAGAACACTCTCCAACAGAGTCTCCGTTTGGAGAGAGAGAAAAACAGAGACAGAAAGAGAAACAGTTGTGAGAGGGACAGGAAGAGGAGGGAACTGCCACGTAACAAAACCATCCTCCTGTCACTCTGAAACGGGCCAATCCGTTAAATATTTCGGGTCGGATCTCCTAACCCGCTCCATTAGTATACGTCTATATTTTTTTTTATAAGTTGAAAAGTCTTGATTAAAATCAAGACAAAAATACCGTAAAACTTGATATCCGGCCCGTTTTATTTATATATACTTACAAAATGTTGATTAAAATCAAGACAAAAATACCGTATAACTTGATATCCAACCCGTTTCATTTATATATGTTGTGGAATTAGACAAAAAAATAAAATATTAAACTCTCTAAATTTGTTTTTGATGATATATTAGAAATAATGCCATGGAAATATGGACGTAATTTATTAGTTTTAAGATACATGTATAAAAAAGTGGAGTGAAAATAAAAATGCTTTAAAAAAAAGGTAAGAGAGATAGGACAAAAAAGAAAAGAAAAGAAAAGCAAAGAAAAGAAAAGAAATGAGTGTGATATATTTTATTTTTGAATTTTTTCATTATTAGATAGCTGAAGATAAGTAATTTTCTGAATTTTATTAAAAATTATAAAAATAAATATATATATTTTTATATTAGACAACTTCATCTTATTCTTTCATCCTCATATTAATAGCGTTAAATTGTATAGTTTAAGTTTTGAAATGACACTTTTACTCATTAAATTAAATTTTAACAAATAATGATTTGGCCGATCATTTTTAATTAGACCACATTCATTGAAATTGAAAATTTTAGTGACTAAATCAATAAATTTGACAAATATGACATTAATTGAAGGCATAAAAGTGAAATTAACTCTAAGAAATATGGTTACTAGCTAGTATAATTATCCTTTTCTATTCTTATTTATCATCTTCATCCTATTTTTTCTTTTGTTTACTTTTCAATTTTATGAAAATGAATTTTTTAAACAAGTTTATCACAATCAAAATGGTTCGCTACCCTGATATTCAAACATGTTATTGGCCTTGTTTTGGTATAACTTATTGAGGTTCTTTTGTTTGCTTTGTTTGTTTTTTTTCATGTTTTTCAAATTGTACAACTGTGTTTGGTGTACCTTTTATTTATAGTTATGAAATGTAAATAATTTAAAAAAATTAGAAAAAAATGAATTATCAAAACGATAGAACTTGAGAAAAAATATTTTTAATTTATATTTTTTATTATTAACTTTTAACTTTAAAAAAATTAAAAATAATTATAAAAATTTTTACACAACACTCAAAATTTAAGGATACAACCAGGGCCCATTGTTCTAAAAAAAAAAAAATAGGGCCCATAAATCCAGGGTCATAGATTTTCAATATAAACCTTCTTTTTTGAAAACCTAAAATGATTAAAAATATATATATATATATATATATATATATATAAAATTTTTTTTATCATACTTACGTGCATTATTAACCAAAGTGAGTACTAATATTACGAATGGGTGTATTTCAATTAAAAGACAAGCTTTAAGCTTTTTCAATTGTCGTTATGATTAATATTTTAACATGATATCCAGACATGTCACGTGAAGCATATGAAGTCTCAAGTCCAATGGCAAAGAAATTTAATGCCATTCCACCAGGGAAAGGAGGTGAAAGAAGAAAGTCGGCACAATAAAGTCAATAAAAACCAAAGAAAATTTATTATCCATTCCACCAATGTGATTCATACAAGTGTGCCTTTTCGAATTAGACTATCCAATAAAAAGTGAATCCAATTCCAAAGAAAATCAGAACCCGCAAGTCAAATTTATAATTTATACATTTTAATAAAAAAAAATTTAAAAAATCACTATAAATTATCGTATCACTCTTTTTTATTTTTTTACATATTTTTTCGTAAAAAATTAAAAAATTATTAAAATAATATATTCTCAAACGAGACCTAAAAATTGTTTTGATAAATAAGTTAAAAGTTAAATTTTTGACTTCTTTTATTATTTTTTTTTAAAAAAAAAAGTGTAAAAAAATAAAAAAAATAATATGATCCAAAAAAATTAAAAATCAAAAATCAAAAAAATAACTTTTAATCTTTTTGCTAAAAGGGGCCTAAGCTATCTTAATCGTGCGCATATCAAGTTTAATAATCTTTGACACAATTTGAAAGTTTCACTCCAGTAAAGACATCTCCACTGGTGCATTACTTTTTTCACCAAATTTGAATAAAAAATTGAGTAAAAACTTTGTTTTATATCGCCTGCTCCAACGAAGGGATTTGACTTTTCATCAAACCATCGATCAACCGGCATCCCTCAGCCCAGGCCTGAAGATCCTGACCTCATCAACCAAAGTGGTCATCAAGTAAATCAATGAAAAGGAACCTAATCCTCACCACCACCACCACACACACACACACACACACACACACACACACACACAAAAAACCAAACAAGTTTAGAATTGGCATTTTTCTTGATTTTTTTTTCTTGATTTGGTGATGTTGATTTCTTTGAAATAATATTTTTTGTTTTTTTGGTTAATTTGGGAGGTAATAAGCATGAAATAGCTTATGTTGAAGGAGACAAGTACTATGGAGCAAAAACAACCTTAAATGTGTGGGAACCCAACCCAAAATACAACAGCCTAATGAGTTCAACTTGTCTCAAATTTGGATATTGGGTGGTTCTTTTGGTGAAGATCTTAACAACATTGAAGCTGGTTGGCAGGTGTATTTTTCTAACTCAAATTCGGAATTTACTTACCACCTTAAAATGAAAATGCATTCTTTTGATTTGATTGCATTTTTTGTTCCCCAATTGAATTAGAGTCTGATTGTAGAGTGAATATGATTTCAGGTCAGCTCAGATCTTTATGGTGATAACAACACAAGATTGTTCACTTACTGGACTGTAAGCTTTCAAAAAATTCCCACTATGGTTTTGGGTTTTTGTCACAAATTCCCTCATCTGTCACTTTTAATTTTAGTGTAAATTCCCTCATCAGCTCTACGTAATGTGAAATCTTTTATTACTATATATTGTTGTTTCATATAATTGAATCTTCATTAGAATACTTTGGAGTTTGTAGACGAAACTAGAGACGAATTGAATTTGAATTCGTTCAACTATCGTATTGTCGAAGCCTCTTTCGGAGTCAATTTTGCATTCACTCGAAAAATGGTTTGAATAACTAATAGGAGTGTAAAAATGGCCCATGGCCTATGGGCTGTTCGGGATGGGCTTGGGCTTGAGCCTGAGCCTGAGCCCGAGCCCGAGCCCTTGGGCTTGGGCCAGAGCCATCATTTTAAAGCCCGGCCCGGCCCGTGGCCCGACCCATCGGCCCACGTAAGGCCTGGCTCGACTCGCAAGGCCAAGTGTCTTTTTTAGTGAAAAATAATAAAATTTTAGTAAAAAAAATTTTAAAAACAAAAAAAATTGATTAGACCCACCTAAGCTGGTCAAAGCTCGAGGCCTGAATACCCCTGGACTTGGGCCTAATTTTTCGATGGTGGGAGCCAGTGAGGCCCGACATGGGCCCAGTTCAGCCCGAGCCCAAATGGGCCGGGCCAGGCTGGGTCAGATTTACACCCCTAATAACTGAATATACGAAGTGAATCACCACTCGACAAAGAACGCGTTTCTACCCGGACACACCTCAATCGATGTCTGGAGCCCATTTGAATTTAGGGCTATTTTAAAAAGATGGTTATAATCAAATTTTTGTAAGAGAGAAAAGTGGTTTATAATCTGGGAAGTGAATTATAACTCACTTCCCAAAACACCCCTTAGCCTCAAAGTTAGCCAAAAGTCATGGTTGTATAAACCATGTTTCCAACACTCTATGTTACCTATTTCTGTGAGAATTGTTCACTGAAGAGGATGATCAGGGAACATTTGGCCGAATGTCTCGTCCGGTGGATCTCATCCTCAACGATTATACATAGTAAAATGGTAAAAAATAGTCTAGATGTTCAGTTTGGTGAAACATTTGCTATATTCTTAATTTGATATAAATTTAATAAAACTACTGACGTATAAAAATAAAATTTTTTTTATTAAATTTAAATTTAATAATAAATTTAATGTAGCGTTAAAAATGACCTATTAGTCACTTCAGAACCAATATGGAGTAAATGACAAATACTCCATCACCAAATAGTACAAATCCTCTATCACCGAATAGTTGTAACAATCAGTTCAAAAATTAAAAAAAATAAAAAAAAATTGTAACAATCTCTTTGATTTATTCATCAAAAAAGAAAAAAAACAATCTTTTGATCAGGGGAAAAAACCAAGAAGAAAAATTACACGAAAAAATCAGTCTTGGTCACAGCTCTCCCAATAGCATATGCACAACATTAAAGTGAAGACAACACAACAGCCTGGAATGAACTTACTTTTAACAAACCCAACCCAACCCAAATCAAATCAAATCAATCAAGCTTACACAGTACGGTGCACAGCCAAGAACGAATACTCTCACACATCCAAATAAATACTCTCCCTCTCTCAAACAAATCAAAACCGTTCATTATAAATAAATAAAGGGCTCAGATTCACTGATTGTCTAGTCTAGTCTAGTCTAGAGATGAAAACGAGTTCCGTTGATAATGAAACAGACGACCCGAAATCCCGAAAGCAGCGAGGAAAGCCCCAAAAACAGAAAGCCGGCGTATCCCAAGGCGATGGATATGTCGGACTGTACGCAAAACGCGTTGCTGGCCGTACACGTGTCCCCCGCCTTCAGCGTCCGAGCAAACTCCGTCCCCGCTGAGCTCGCCGACAGTAACAGGTACGCGAAAACCTAGGAGAGACATTCATTCCATTCAGACCATAAAAGCAAAGAATGATCCAGAGAGAGAGGGAAATTGTTTCAAAATTTGAATGAAAGACGGAGAGAGAGAGAGTGACCTGATCATGGCCGTAGTCGAACCAGACCTGAAGGATCTCAGGGAGCAAAGTGACGCCTCTGGAAATCTCCCAAACAGAAGCTCCCATTTCGAACAATGAATACACAGCGACTATGGCATTGGCAGCCAAAACGAATCTGCAAAGATATCCTACTTCAATCTGATTTCCCCCATATTACGATGCCAAACCTAGCCCTCTGTTTGGTCACCGAGAAAATAAACCAAAATAAAAAGAAATTCCTTTCTGATCCTTCAAATTAGAAACCAATTTTAGCTCAAATTAAAACATTTTCTCGGCAACAAAACACGGTTAAATAAAATTACAGCAACATGAAGATATTTATGTGTACCTGAAGGCGGAGAAATTGTACCAGCGAGGCGAATCGGAGCTTCTAGGGTTAACGAGCATGAAAACGGAAGCAGCGGTGGAGAAACAAAAAGTGCAAAATCGGAAGACGAAAATGAGGGTGTTGAGGCGGCGGAGCTTCTGTACGGAGACGGTGGAGTGGAAGTGAGGAGATTGGGCTTGGATTCGAGGGCGAGGAGAGGGAGTCTCGCCGCCGCCGTTGATGAGCGGCTGAGGGGACCGCATCTTCCGCCGCCGAAGTCAGAGAGAGAGAAAGTGATTGCGAGGAGGAGAGAGAAAGTGAGGAGAAGCCATGGGTGAAGAAGAAAGTAAGAAAGTTAGGAATTTAGGATATCTTTATTGTGGAAAATTCGATTTGATTTTGGTTTGAGTTTGGAGTACGGGACTTGGGATGAATTCCACGAGAGACAGAGATAAGTCTGTGTCCGTATATATACATACATATATATATATATATATATAGATAGATACACAGAAGAGAGAGAGAGAGAGAGAGAGACTATTTTTTCATATGAATTTGGATTTTACTATATAATTATTTCATTTATTTTTTACAAATATCACATTTAACAATAATAAAAAAATTAACTATTTTTTCAAATACAAAAATTTTAATTTATTAAAACAGTTAAAAATTAAAATAACTTATGAAAATAAATCCCTTTCCAAACGAGGCCAGATAAACAAGTAAGAATAGTAAACAGCAGCCAGACAAGAAAGAGAGAGAGAGAGGGGCTTTATTTTGCTTTTCTTTGTTCTTTACAATCTCTTTACCATTTTATTTGTTTGTCAAAAGATGGAATCTTACATGTTAAAGTTAATTTATAACTTAAGGCCATGTTTGATTCACAATACTAATAGTGAGGTATTAATAATCCTATCAAATTAGTGGAAAATAAATCCCTTTCCAAACGAGGCCAGATAAACAAGTAAAGAATAGTAAACAGCAGCCAGACAAGAAAGAGAGAGAGGGGCTTTATTTTGCTTTTCTTTGTTCTTTACAATCTCTTTACCATTTTATTTGTTTATTTGTTTGTCAAAAGATAGAATCTTACATGTTAAAGTTAATTTATAATATAAAAGAGTTGTTACTGTTACATTAATTTAAATTCTAAATTTTTCATTCACCGTCGCTTAAGGCGCAACTATATGTCACTCGACTGTCGTAAAAATCTAATCCCATACTTTAATCCTTCCAATCAAACATGCCCTAAAAGAGTTGTTACTGTTACATTAATTTAAATTCTAAATTTTTCATTCACCGTCGCTTAAGGCGCAACTATATGTCACTCGACTGTCGTAAAAATTATATAATTAATTAAACTAAATAGATTTATATTTAAAAAATTAAATTTCAAAACAAGAAACATGTTGAAATTACAAGTAGATTGAATATGAATACTCAATAAATTAAAATGGCAAAAGGAAAGTAAACTGAAACCTACATTAGACAATTTCTTTAAAACAGATTCGCCGCCTCACTAGTTGGGTGCTGGAGGTTCTTCGATGTCTGTCTCCCAAGATACGACAGTTAAACCAGCTACAATAATGCACTTACTGTGTAGATTTGGTGAACAGAATTACGACAACATTCTCTCACTAGGAATAATATAAAATTGGAGGAAAACTTTGGAACAGAAAAGCAAATTTTCTTGGTAGAAAACTGAAGGAGAAGGGTCTCTTTTTATACACATGGAAGGGGACAGTGGAAAAGCTTTCTGCAACAAATGCAAAAATAAATCTCTGCAAAACTACCCAACAAATGTAGCAAAACTGATGGGATTTTAAGTGTGTGAGTTATACACTTCATATCTGCAACCATCAACCTGGCTTGGCCCAAAAAGATTAGGTTGGTGGACCACCAACTCGGCTCAGCCCAAACCTAACCTATTCCAACAAGCCTCAAGCCTAAGATCCCAGATCCACGATCCACGACCCACGGACCCAAACCAGGCCCGATTTGGTCCGAACGGGTGGGCGACGAGCACGTGTGATAATTTTTGCATAACCAATTTGGACCATAGTTTTGGTCTAAGTCAATCCTTGAAGCATCTATAACTCTCTTCTTCAAAAAATTTGGATGCTCCAAAGGGCTCACACCCTTAGGCAAAAAATGGGATTTAAATACCTATCAATGCACTCATCTACAATCAATGTGGGATAGAAGGTTACACACCTTTCCCAACACCTCTTTCATGAGGAACTTAATGAGTCAATTTCTTATTCAAATCTTAATGATTTTTGGTTATTTTTTTGTGGTGTAAAGATCTCATTACAAAGAATCTAAACATACTTTAATCCACCTCAATTGAGGATTGACACTCATTTTAATATCGCATTGAAGTCACCAAAAAATCATTATTTTCCAACAATCTCCCACATGAATAAAAATTGACTGAATAACAACAAACAAACAATGTTTAATAACAAAGACTCGGAGAGAGAGTGTAACGAAATAACCCCTACATCGGAAAAAGGTAGCTTTTGACTTTGAACCCCTCCTAGTGAAATCTATCAGATTTACTGGCTGCCCAATGAACAAGAAGTCTTGAACTGTTCTCCCGTTTATGTAAACCAAGACAATAGACCTCACACAGGTATTACTTCAACCATTGTTCTGTTCTCATTGTTATGTCCGGTTTGGTCCTGAAACACTAGCCTGGTTCAATGAGTGGTTTAAAGAATTCGGCCTTCTCAATTCTTATAGAAGCGACCCTACTTCACATTCACATAGGTGACTCTGCTTGAGTATCCTATTATACTTAGCTCAATAGCTTAACATGCCAGAGTCATTAAAAGCTCAGCTTAACTTCTATACTTGCAGGTATCACTGATAAAAGGAATGGCTGGAGGTTTAACCTCCTCAATGACATGCCGCCGTTATACGCAATTAGGTTATCCCATTGAACCTAAATCTTGGAATCTCCAGTTAACTAGGTTAGGTTTCTATTTTGGTAACACCTTACACTAAAGGCCTTAAGCCCATTCCTTCTTATGACTTCTCTACTAACAATCAATTTAACCCTTTGGTTAGCGAATTCGTAATGTTGTCTTTATACTTCACATAGTTTAAAGTGACAACTTCGTTAGAGAGTAGTTATCTTATAGAATTATGTCTACGACAGATATGCTTAGACTTTCTATTATACATATTACTCTGTACCCGTACAATAACTGATTGGCTATCACAATGAATACAAATGGCTGGCATAGGTTTTGACCAATGTGGAATATCTTCAACGAAATGGCGAAGCCATTTTGCTTTTTCTATTGCTTTATCCAATGCTATAAACTCCAATTCCATCATTGATCGTGAGATACACTTCTGCTTGGAAGATTTTCAAGGCACGACTGCCCCTCCAAGGGTGAACACATAACCACTAGTGAATTTCGAATTCCTAACATCAAATATCCAATTCGTATCGCTATAGCCTTCTATTGCTGTTGGATATCTGGTGTAATGCAGCCCATAATCTTAGGCGAAATGGAGATACCTTAACACCCGAACGATACCTTTCTAGTGAGTGGCATCAGGATTGCTCGTGTATCTACTAAGCGTGCTAACTGAGTAGGCTATATTCGGCCTTGTACAACTCATCAAAAACATCCAACTCCCAATGATTCGAGAATATTCTAGCTGAGATACACTCTCACCATTGTTCTTGGTCAAATGTAGACTCAAGTCTACTGGTATCATAGACACACTTGTATCTGATTTACCAAACTTCTCAAGTATCTTCTCAACAAAGTGAGATTGAAAAAGTACAATACCATCAGATGTTTTGGTAATCTTAACACCCAAAATTATATCTGCAAGGCCTATATTTTTCATGTCAAACTCAGAGTTTAATAATCTCTTAGTAGTTCTAATCATCTCATCATTACTACTAACAATGAGTACGTTATCAACGTATAGACACAAAATGACATAATCTTTTTCAGTGTTTTTGACACATACGTATTTGTTACACTCATTAATTTTGAACCCAGTTGATAACATAGTGTTGTCAAACTTCTCATGCCATTGTTTAGGAACTTACTTCAAATTATACAATGATTTGATAAGCTTACAGACTTTCTTATTTTGTCCTGGAGCTGAAAACCCCTCGGGTTGCTCCATGTAGATTTCTTCCTCTAAATCTCCATTTAAGAAAGCTGTATTTACATTTATCTGATATATCTCCAGACCACGTAAAGCTGCCATTGCAATCACCATATGAATGGATGTAATTCTTGTCACAGGTGAATACGTATCAAAGTAATCCAAGCCTTCTCACTACCTGCCTAGCTTTATACTTATCAATTGATCCATCCGCTTTCATCTTCCTTCTAAAGATCAACTTACTCCTCAAGGCCTTACTGCCTGGGGGTAGATCAAACAACTTCCATAAGATGGAGTCAATCTCACTCTTAATTGTTTCTTTCCACAAAGAACTTTCAGGTGAAATCACAGCTTCATAGAAAGTTTGAGGTTCTCCCTTTAACATATAAGCCAAGAAGTCTGGACTAGAGGACTTAGCAGTCCTAGCCCTTTCACTACTTCTTGACTCGTTTACTTCCTCAGCTTGATTATTGACTTGATCATCTATGTGATCATTGTCACCTTCAACTTCTTTCATGGAACTCAGGAATCCCTTCTTGGAGACGACAAGGAAATACATCTTCAAAGAAATATGCATTTATTGATTCCATGATAGTATTATTGTATATATCTGGAATAGCAGACCTATACACAAGAAATCGATATGTACTGCAATTATGTGCATAGAGAATAAATATACAATCCATTGACTTCGGGCCTATTTGATCCGCTTAGGTGTAGGCATCGCCACTTTTGCAAGTGTAATAACCCTGATCCACAATTAGCCACTAATCGGTAGTTAAGGAAGTTAATTAAGTGAATAAAATAAATTATGGGTTTATTATGTGATTTGCATGATATTTGGCTTACTATCTATTACTTATAGAAATATCTGTCTGGAATTCCGCTTTAATATGTGAATTGAAAGCCTTATCGACATCTGAAACCGAAATTGACTCTACCAATATGTTATTTGGAATTTTTAGAACTATATGGCAGGTTTTATTAAAAATTGATTCAGAACGATTCATTAAGTTACGTTTGGCAAGCCTTATGTTTTAATTAATGTATTTTAGCATCATAACTATCTATATGAGCCCTTAAGCTCATTTGTGATCATTCCTCTCATTCTTGAGTGCAAAATTTTGGAGATTTATCTTGGAGAGAGAGAGAGTGCAATTCTAGAGAGAGAAAGGGAGAGATTAAAGAGAAATTGAAGGCTATAGCTTGAATTGATCAAAGATTGTGCAAGTACCTAGCTAATTGAAGACTCTAGGTAAGATTACAACCTCTAGATTGTGCAACTAAGTCATTTAACATGAAATTTCTTCAAGATTATGAGTTTGAATGTGTATATTGAGCTTTGAATAAGATTTGAGTTGCAATTCATGCATGCACATTTTCTTACAAT